AGTCGTCGCCGTGGTTCCCACCGTAAAAAAGTTCAGGCATGTTCTCGCTCTTAAGAGCCAAGCACAGAATTCGCAAGGCAGAGTTGCCAATTCAGGGGTGGGAGTGAGGCAAGTTACTTGACATGAACGTTCGAGTCGACACGTTCGTGTCATGCTGCGCGCTGCAGCGGTGAGTGCTCCATCCCCCCCCCCTCCAAAGCGCACTCTACTAGGTTGGCCCATAATTAGTGAGCAATATGGTCCAACAGGTGAATGGAAATGTCCGTAAAGCTTATGCAACTACTGACACTTGGAATTCGGGGCCTACCCTTTAAACAGCCGACCATCACGTATAAGTATTATATATTCTGAAATTGGACGTCTCGCCCTGTGGAAGATTCTACCGCCTTCAACGGTCGAAGTTATACAGTGTCGGTGAACCTGAATCACACTGGTACACTCCGAACGGTCGCGTCCGATATTCCAGGAGTGAACGAGAAAATTTGAAATAAATTCCTTTAACAAGTTCTCCATCTCCTAAAAACCCCTACAAGATAGTATGACCCTTCACTCCAAATATGAGCCATCCCCCTCCTTATGCAATTTCCCACGGACGGTTGACCCTGCTACAGTCACAAATTCAAATGGCACTACATCTGAATGGAAGTGAATGGCGTGACCCAATGGGTTTATCAGAAGGTTTCTTTTGCAAATAATAAATTTTCTGGGCAGCTTGCGTTTTTCTACATACGTACATTTAGACGCGGCTCAGCTGCAGTTCCAATACAAGATGTGCTTACGTTCACAAATGTGTGTGATATTTTATTTGGTTGAAGGAGAAAATGTTGGCACTCAGTTACCAAATTCAGTGTCTCAGTCTTTGAGATTAAAGGCGCGATTACGATAAAGTGGAAGCGCATCGGGGAAGCATATGCACCACACGAATCAGTTACTCGGCTGCCAGGGAAGCGAGGTGTACCGCTTTCACGACTTTCGAAAGCACTCCGCCCCCAAAAGCGATCCGCCCACTAGTTTAGTTGGTGATTTGGACGAGCTGCGTTGCCAGCAGCGGCACAACTGGAGCAACTCGATGGAGCGTGGTTTGGCATGGTCACCAAACGCGTTGCGCTGAACTCGTTCATACGCCCGCTTTCTGAGCTGTTACCTGTTCATGAGTGAAAACCAACGGCCAAAAAAGGGGTCCCATTTTGCGTTTTTTGACGGATTTCTCCGCTTTTTTCGCCACTGACGTACCATTGAGCACCACCACGTCTCCTACAAACCCTTCTTGAATCTGTCGGCTTCCTCCAGATAATGACGCATTTTAGTCAATGGGTTATAACCGAAGCTGCATGTTCTAAAGGAGCACTATTCTACTGAGGGGTTATTGTTCCGTATTTGACGGAGGTGGAGTAGTGATAGATGTCGCCAGGCGAAGGCTCCCAAGGATGAGTCTCGGGTTTGATTCCGGTGGGTGAACCAAATTCTCAGCCAGGTCTACCAAGCACAAGAAAACCAAACAGATGATCGGAAACAGTTCGTTGAGTCTGTGAGAATAGAAACACTGCCCTCTTATTGGCTTTTCCTCGTCACTCGTGGCACGTGTAAACACGTATCGAAAACGGACCACGATCCAGAGCGAAATAGAACCCATGGTACATATAAGGCACCATTGGCGAACACGTTGCATTGTACCCTTTTATTCTTTATTTTTACATTGATCCATTGTGTGAGTGAGTTGGAGAGGATGGCTATTCAAATAAAACCGAGGACGTCGCGAAAATTTGCGTAATTGTACTGTGACGTCAAAGTGCAGCGATGTATTCATAAAGCTCTGCAGTTCGCAGAAGAACTCTCCTCTGCGCTTTTTGTTTCCTCGGACTTCGCAGAGTCGGCGATTTCGTCCTGCATACTGATGATCATGCGACTTTCGAAGACTTCCAATGGCGCGCGTCTGTGAGGGAACGTTCTCGAAGGCTTTCAAGTTGAGGGGCTACCCATATAATTTGAATGGCGAGACTATCCAGAAGGATCATGTGGCATCGTTGGACATATCCTTTGGAATCAGCCATATAGGAATTTTCTCTTAAATGCGGAATTTACGATGAAAAACAACCCAAGTTAAGATGGTGAGTGGTACACGAAAGAAGGAAAAACCATGAGAAACGGCCCAGAACCCGAGAAATGGGACCCCTTCCTTGCCCGTTGATTTCGCATTGATGCGACTCTCATCGCTGTGCCCTCTTCAACACTACGCTCTCTCTGCTATCTAATCACTCGCCACGTATAGACCTGCGGCGAGTGATTAGATAGTCGGTGGGCGTACCCCGCCAACCGCGCCAAGAGTGAGCCATGCTAGATCGCCGAGGTCAAATCTTTCGCTGCCAATTGCGCGTCGTCCGCACCCTCAGGAGGTCCGCCTGTCTCCCACTAGGCAATTTTCCCTTCTTCGACCTTCGTTATCGTGAATTCCTCGTTTGAATACTTGTGGATGGTGGCACATCCCTCATGCTGTGCTCACCAGGAAAGGTCACAGGGTGAACAACTTGATAAATCCTCGACACGGGGGTCGTATTTGCTCCGAAAGGAGGTGAGGGGGTTGTAAGCGCAAGAACTAATAAGGTTCACGGCGGTGCTGCTGCCACTCAATTGTTGTGCCAACACTAATTTTACAAGTTTTTCTGCCGGACTAATGCAACTGTTAGCTCAAGTTGCATGAAATGAAGCTTTAAATGGAAAAAGCTTGGTGCCCTGCTAGAAGTGACTAGAATGATGACGTAGAGAGGGAACGCGCCTTGCAAAAAGATCCGATCCACTGATTCAGATGAGAATATCCACTCTAGATTAATATACACATTCTAAGAACCTCTGTAGAAGCAGGAACTCAGTAGACACTTCAAAACGGGAGCTTTGCAGCACATCATCACATGCTGCAGCCGCAAATGCAGCCATCGGAACAGGGTTGGAAAGGAAGCGACGTAAATGAAGGAATGATCACACTACATATACTATGACCATGAGAGTTATTCTGATTAATCAAGACTAGAAACACCTTTTGGTTTGCACAAGCAAGTGTCATGTAGACAAAACACCTTCAAATGACTCCGAGTGGGGTCACTGCATGGCGCATACCAGAACGGAATGGATCTGCGCCAAGTGTATCATTTCCTATTTACTCCATCGAACTGATGTATCCTAGAAGCAATTTGAGGGTTTTCAAAGAAGTTCCTTGCATCGGCGAAGGAGGAATAGTGTTTTCGATTGGCTTGGAAACCATCCTCGATAGATACTCGATGCAGATTTCAGAGAAGAGTTCAGCAGATAAGGAAAGCATATTTGAGCTCAGCGTCCCAAGGCGCGTATTGAGAATACATCTCATTTCAATTGGCCGGGTTGACCAAATGACCTTTCCTGGTCCACTAGCAAGGTATGGGGGGAGTGTATTTTAACGGCAACGCATTTCAAACTTCGTCAAACGTTTTTTTTTCTGAACCGAGCATTCGGGTGGAAGAGGAGGAGGGGACTCCAGCTAGAGTAGTTTCCTTTTACCCTGTAGCTCCTGTCCACCTATCCTAGGTTTGGTCCTAGGGGATGCCTCGGTATACCTGCGGTAGCCATGCATGGATGAGGAAAGTTTTATAAGAGAAAGGGCACCAACCAGAGTATCACAACTTATTATTATCATTATTTTTATTATTATATTATGTTACTATTATTATTATGTTTTTAGCGCTCTAAAAAAACTTGAACCACCTGTTGTATCCAGGTCTGATACCTCGACTATTGAGATAGGCAAATAAAGCTAGGCTTTGCACACATGAAACAGACTCCCACGTTCCTTTTTTGCAATCCGACAGTGGAACAATACCCTCAATTAAGAAACGAAAAAAAAACGTTATAATGTATAAACGTTGTCATGTAAATAAATAAATTAAATGTAAATAATATACATGTTGAGAATTTATCATTTGGAGGTAGCATATATATCTGCATTCAGTACTATCCAATGGATGTGCAAACGTGCCTCATTGACCTGGCCTCCTACGCGTACACAGACACCGACATCGGTTAGTTATCCATTTCTCTTGACATTTTACCCTGCTTTTTTCTATCGTGAATCCATGACCTTTTACACTGGTAGGTTATACTGTTGTTTGAGTGAATTTTTGGCTAGTGAGCCAATGGAAGACTTAACCAGTGACGTGTAATATTTATTACGACGTGTTAGTGTAAGAATCGACAATAATAATGCATTCAATGGGGTTTATATACAGAAAATGTGGGCGGTCCTCAGATACCGTGTCGCCGCTGGACCGTGGGGGGCCAGTGGCGGTACTCAAGCTCGGGGGATGAAAGGGTGGACCGCGCGCCAACAGCAATATTTAAGTTACCTACTTGATTGCACACTTATGATACCGCTAGGTCATGCCTGCGGTATCATTTCAAGAGATACTCATCTATAGAACGTCCTAAGGTAAATAGTTTGAACTAGCACGTTATCATTCACTTATATGAATCCTAGCTCTAGTAGAAATATATAGGTTGTGTATCCACAACATGAATGAACAATTTTAATTCCATTTTCTCTTTCTGTTCTCCTGTTGTCTTGGTGCTGAAGTATCTATCATGAATCGAAGAGGGGCACACAGCCTTTCCTGTCCAGTTGTGCATGTTTCAAACTACAGCAGATCCTAATCTCATTTCATTCCATAGTTGCGGTGAAACTGACCTGTGGCAGCCGCAATCCTTTGTCAATTTCTACATTCACGATTTCATCACTAACTGATCGAATCGTCCCTGATTTCACTTTTGCCGAAATTTCCGTGAGAGTATTTGCAACCAGCTTCATGACTCTGTTAAACGGAAATAGAAATCTGGTAAAACAGTAGGTTCTCTGAGCTTCATTTATTTGGGTCTTGTAGCGATAGATTGAAATGGGAAACTCTACTTCCTGTTCACAGTTTATTGACAACTTGTTTTTGATTGTTAACTGCTGTTTTTGGCCGCACTTAACAAGCGAGAGGTGCGGGTTCTAGTCCCGCCTGGGCGGAAGTTTTGTTCACAACCCAGCATTCTTGTGAAACATTTATTGACAACGTTTCGAGCATGAGCCCTTTTTCAGGTCAACTGAATCTTGAATAATGTAACAACCACATACAATTAAGCAACAACATTAGCAACAAGAACAACGGTAACCTACAGGGTCGTCGGGTGGTTGAGGTAGAAGAGAGGGTTGATGCCAAGCTCTATGTGAACATAGGCAAGAATGCCAAGCAAATTCTCTGGCTAGTGTATATATACTGCCCGATGAGAAACCGATTGGAACTTATGGTTAGTCACGTTTCCTTTCGCAGTGCACGTATCACACTGATATCAGACTCATTGCCACTTTCATCTCCTCCTTACTGTTTATCGGTGGCCTGTTGTGTCCATGTTTTCTTATTTCTATCGCTTTCTTCATTTTCCTCTCAACTGGATCCGCCATTCTATGAAGAAAACAGATTTCGTTTGAGCCCAGATATTGGTTCACCAGATTATTCTGCACAATTCATTGAATGAACAGTAGTATGAAGTGTATGCAACTGATCGATCAGGCGCCCACAAATTTATTGCTAGTGACGAAAGAAAGATTTAAAGGCAAAAGTCGGGCTCAATAAGGGGGTATTATGGCGATTGAAACTGAGTATAGAGATGCGAAGTGGAACGACAGTGGAGAAAAAACTGAGAAAAACCGTCGACAAGGCCGTTAACAAAACCCTCTTTCCCACTAGCAGTGAAGGAGGCTGGCTTGGGAAAGAGGCACGTACAAACAAGTTTTCTGGAGATGTCAGTCGTTCTATCGGTTGATACGGCAATCAACCTAGCTTTCACACGTTATGCCAGCCACGCACCACTTCCGGAGGTGGGCGGTCCCGGATTGACGAGGCGGTCCCGGATTGAAACCGACGGCCCCGGGGGCTTAACGACGTTTTTCAAGGTGGGAAGTTGCTGCATTGTGTGCAGCTACTCACATACAACCTCCGGGCATGGGAATTACTCCTCTAGCGCGACTGAGCCCGACCTTGCTTATACGGCAACTGCAGTTTTATTGGGTCAGCACATTCTTCCCACAACTTTCTTTACCCTGCAGACCTAGATAAAGTTCCTATTTCGCAAACAATAGGCAATGTACTGTTGTGTGCGCTGTATCTGATCTCAACGACTCTTTGTATTTAAATTTATTATGCTCTTCAGCAACTGAGGCCTAAACATTTATAGATCGGTTGGATCTTGGACGGCAAAACTGTTTTTGTACTCTACCTAATGAAGCGTAGGGCGCTAGATATTGGATTCATTCAGCATCTTTCGAAAGACTCGTTGTTCAAAAATAGTGAACATCCAGACGCACGCCCCACCTACTGTGGGCGGACTTTCTTATGGCTAATACATACTTTATATAGGGCGGTGTGTGCCTAATTTACCCTATTTTCCCTGTCTTTAGACTGTTCTGAAGCCAAAAACTGCAATTTTTCACCAAATTTTTTCATTTCGACGCACGCCCCGCCCACTGGAGGCGGAGTTCAGCATGGCCAATATATTCCCTTAGAGAGCGACTCATACTCTACCCATTCCAAACTTGACCCGCCCTCCCTAGGTGATTTTTGAAGGAAGAATTATAAACATGTGGGGGACACTTGCGAATTTTTGGGGAGCGGTCAGACAAACAAACTCTGGTTTATATAATAGTATGATATGAGAGCACTCCTTTGGTCTATACAACAGCTAAGGATAAGATATACCGTGAAGACTCATTAGATGGGGAACATTCTTATAAAAAGACAAAAAAAAAAAAAAAAAAAAAAAAAAAAAAAAACACAGGTTTGTTTGATAAGTATAGTGGTTCCTACATTCCAACATCCTGCCCACATACTATCCAGTGTTTTGGCCCAAGTCATTTGAGCCCTTTTGTGCAATTATAATTTCATTCAGCACCAAGTTGCAAAGATTTTTGGTTGTCAAACACCCGCTCTATCTAGTTTACTCATCTTCAGTTGACATGAAGGGGTCACGTAATCACGACAGCAACAAAGTGTCTTGTCAACCAATATCTGATTGATATCACTATCTGAAAAGAAGACATTGTAGTGGCGTTAGGAAATGTGTCATGACTTTTGTGCCTGAAATGAATAGGCTTCGAAAGGGAAAGAGCCAGCTCAGCTCTTGCCCTTTGAACACTAGGCAAAACAATTGTGAAGTTTAACAATCATTAAGACTCGAGCCCTTATCAAGGTATGTTGTTGGCCAGTGCTGTGGGTATGCCGCAGGAGCAGGGTCAACCGTCCGTTGGACAAAGTCCAACGCGACGACGAGAGTAATGCCGAGAGTGAACGTACGCACGGAGACACAGACGGCTCGCGGGTGGCGAGAGTGAATGCCGGCGCGGAGAGCGGTGAACATCGGTCCAACGTCGCTCCAATATCGGTCCAACGTAACGGTTGACCCTGGCAGGAGGCCTTCACAGCGGCTAGAAGCGAATGCGCTCGAAACGGACGAATCGCGAGCCCCGTGCCGTAGCGATTTAGCGTCTAGTTAAATAGAATGTACGGTAGTAAGTCCCACATTGCACAGTTCACGCTGCGGTGGACCCGTATGCGTTTCTGCCCTCTCCGCGCGACAGGCTTCCTGTCGGGTACCCCAATACTCCCTACATGACGTTCACCCACTTCGCGATTATTTTTGAATCAGCTAATTAGACTGAAATACTACAGGCAAGTCTCTTTCAGAGTACCGGTGGAAGGAGACAGATCCAGTACAACTCAAGGATGGGCTCAATTCTTCACTACCCAGTTTTCAACTCAATAACGTGAGCTTTTCTCCATTTACATATCATGTAAAACAACAACTACCAGCGTGCGAATTAACTAACTCACCTATTTCTTTTGCAGGTTTCGACCACATACTGCACTAGCAAAACAAATACGGGAACATATTCGTGTCTACGAACTGTTTTGGAGCTCAGGAGGCAGTTCAGGTGATCAGTCGGCAGAATTATCAGATAGGTCGAAGCGGTTTTCTAGAATCATGAGCAAATTATATTTATTATTCAGTTATTATTTGTTACAACTCTACATACCGTCGACTATGCTGGTTATCGTGTCCTGGGTTTCATTCTGGTTGGACAGGTCGGCGGTTCCTGCCAGAGTAACGCTAGGGGTAACTACACTTCTTACAATGACGACGCAGGTGAGGCGTTTCCAACTATTTTTTCCGAATACTGCTGGTAATCTCTTATCTCCAGGCATCTGGTATAAACGCCAAGCTACCTCCGGTTTCCTATACAAAAGCAATCGATGTTTGGATTGGTGCCTGTCTTACATTCATTTTTGGAGCTCTACTTGAATTCGCATGGGTCACTTACATCTCTACGAGAAATTTCTCTAAATGTAAGTCGAGGGTTTCTAGAGCTGATCTGAACAGTGTGGATCTTAGGTTGCGCCATGCTGTGATCATGGTAGACGAGTATGATTTTTCTCTATTATATAATATTGGAAGCAATAATCACCTTTTCTCATTTGTCGTCCCGTTGATCATCGATTTGCTCGAGCGGGCGCCAGCAACGTCTCCATTCGTCCCTGTCGCGTGCAAGAGTTGTCCAGTGGATCCTCCTCGCTCGAGGGACACGAAGTCCTTCATTCCTTTCGTTCAGAGCTTTCGTGAAGAAGTCTGACCATCGGGCCGGCGGTCGTCCAGGTGTTCGTTTGACGTCCCGAGGGATCCAGTCGGTAACCGCTCTGGTCCAACGGTCATCGCAAAATCGCATGACGTGTCCGGCCCACCTTATCTTCGATTCCTTGGCGAAAACGGCAGCGTCCCTGATCTTCGGCGTAGTTCGGAACTCCGGATTCCCCTCTGCACTTGCGTGTATAGGGTTACTCCTAGCATCGTCCTCTCGACAGCGCGTTGGGTAACGCTGCATAGAGTCCAAGTCTCTGAGGGTAGGTTAGGGCAGGAAGGACAGCGGAATCGAAGAGGTGGGCACGGAGCCGGATGTTCTTCGTCTTCTTCACTACTCCCTCGATGTTCTTGTACGCTCCCCAAGCCGCTCGTTTCCTCCTGCTCAGCTCTGGAGCTAGATCGTTCATCATATTGATTTCCCGACCTAGTACACGTAGCTGGAGCATTCGGTGATGTTCGTTCCGTTGAGCGTGAATGGGGCATCAGGAACCAATCCTTTTTCTCATGGTTGAAGAGGTTCAGTAGAAATTCATACCGTCACCAAATGCACCGTTTCTGATGTTTCTGAATAAGAGAATCTTAATACTATAGATGAGGAAGCTCGAAATTTGGATCCACAAACTAAGTTTCCAATATATTAGGGGGAAGGCATGTTCATTAGAACAATGTGATGAATCCCGTTCTGTAGGAGTGATGCGCTGACAGCTGCGTGGCGAGCCTAACAACACCAAACAAAAAGTGAAATTCCGATGGCTGACTGTTTGTGTTGGATTTCAAAAAGTTTCCCACGCACGCGTACTAATTGGGACTCCAGTGGCAAAGAAAAAAAGGGGTCAACAAGAAATGGAAGTTTGTTCCTTTTCTTAATTTTTAGCCAGTACCCAAACATGGACGAGGCGAGTTTTGATTGGGTACAGTTTCTCTGCAGCAAATGCCAACATCTATCACGTCTGTGATGCGGCGCTGTTTGTGCGCTCAAATGGATGTGAGACTCTCACGGAAACTCTCCATGAGAATTCTATGGATGAAGGGTGAAGGTCGGAAAAAGGAATCAACATAGTGGAAAAGACAGGCCTGACCTCCAGAGGTGGACAAGGGGTGACCGGAGCACGCAATCCGCCTCAACTTTCCGACGATTCGGCTTAACTTTTCTTCCACATACCGATATTACCCCATCGGCAGGTGCGCCTCACCCTTATTGCGTTCAGCCGCTTCAGAGAGAACATTAGTGCTGAAGAGAGCTTCACCGATGAGAGTCACATTCAGTGAGGATGCAGCTCCGAAGGATATCACGGCACTAATGACAGACTTTTTTTCATTCACAATTCATATGATTCTACCTCTATGCATGTCGTTTCTCAGAACATATTGAATGAATACCTAATAAATATCAAATGAATATTAAATACCAGCGCCGAGCACCCCGTTCACTTGCCACCAAAATAAAAGCGTTGTGGCAGGGGCGCCAACCAGTCGGCAATCCACCGGCTTTTCCATCCTTTCTTGTGCGCTGATGAAACCAAGTCATATGTAGATCTAGCGCGAGTGTGTTTTTCAAAAAAAGTTTCTATTTTGCCTCACAAAGACGGCTTGCATATTCCACATTTTGCGTCGTTGTGACTGCTTTGACAATTGTGAAATTCCAAGACTTAGAAAATGACAATAAAGCTCGAATCTGACGATGCCTTCAGTCTTATCACAGAACTTTACAGCTAGTCGGAACGAGCCACGATCTAGTTCTCTAGTCCTCGCTAATCAACAAGTGGTGCTTCCACACACCACGGTCAGTTTCTATGGCTTTTCCAAAGGAATCTGTGTATTTAGTCAATTTAACATCTCGTCGATTGCTTTTTTTAAGATCGACTGCCGTTCGAACAACTCAGAAACTGAAGTTTGGGTGAAGCGACGAGAGTTTGACGACGCCGCAGAGTTACTTGGTGCTCGGCCCGCGGAGGAATTCCAGCCGGTAACCACATTTATCATGTCGCCTTAAAGAGGAATTCACGATAAGAACGAAAGGTCAAAGAAGGGAAAATTGCATAGTTGGGAGACAGGCGGACCTCCTGAGGGTGCTGACCGACGCGCAATTGGCAGCGAAAGATTTGACCTCGGCGATCTAGCATGGCTCACTCTTGGCGCGGTTGGCGGGGTACGCCCACCGACTATCTAATCACTCGCCGCAGGTCTATACGTGGCGAGTGATTAGATAGCAGAGAGAGCGTAGTGTTGAAGAGGGCACAGCGATGAGAGTCGCATCAATGCGCAAATCAACGGGCAAGGAAGGGGTCCCATTTCTCGGGTTTTCAGGGGTGCCAAGCTTTTGTAAAAATGCCTTTCTTGCTGACATTGGGTATAGTGTGGGGAACCATCAAATGCCGTCCGTTTTTCCTTGAACGGCCTCGTGGGAACACCAAGAAAAGGAGTTTCCCTCGGCTAGATTCCCCCTTTTGTGACAAATTTTTGCACTTCGAGTTGACGTTTCAAAATTCATAATTACGACCGTCAGTAACCCTTGCAGAAAGACTTTGATCAAAAAACTGGTGAAAGAAGGTGTTACAAAACGGCCCCGCTGTAATGTCACACCTTTTCACCAGCTTTTCAATCAAAGTCTATTTGTAAGGGTTACTGACGGTCCTAATCATGAATATGGTACTAATTATTCATGCTAACTCCATTTTGCGCGAATTTTGAAACGTCAACTCGAAATGCAAAAATTTGTCACCACGAGGAATCGAACTAGGGACCCTTTTTCTGGTATTCAGAGGGCCGTTCAGGAAAAATGGACCATGGTTCTGTGGTTCCCCATGTGCCCCAATGTCATGCAAGAAACCATTTTGAAAAAGCTTGGCACACCCTGAACGACCTCCCTTGTTAAGTGGGGACGTAATAACTTCGTATAGTGACTCTTCGACGCTAACCTCTGCACCTCAAGCGGTTTCGGCTGTTTTTATGGATTGTTTCTCTTGAAAGCTTCTTGGAAATTTCAGATTCGGCTCCCATGGATAACTCATTTATTCTCTCATCGTAGAGATTTTCGTTTTTAGGAAGATAATACGGCACAATATCAATAATTTTTTCGAGCTCTAAGCCTTAGCTTAATCTAACTGCATTCATTTACAGAGTGAATCGATTGCACCGAATGGTGCGAAGGTCCTTTTTGTTCTCATGGGCCCGGCAACGGCTCGAACCAGCCGACAGCGCCAAGAGGGCAGATCTCGTTTCAAGTACAGGTTCGTGTCGATTTATCAACGATCTCATTTTCTTTATTTTTTTGCGTATAATTGTTCTTCACTCAATGAAGTTGCACTTTTTAATAGACACGGGTTGACAAATGGATATATGTATAAAATAGAAATTATGGATATTCTAACAATACAAACATTTTTCATGAGGCAAAAAATAAGAAGTCTTTTTACATGTGTGCGTTCATCCTTCATTCAGCGAAATGAACCAACAAAATTGTGTGGATAATTGATCGGACCTGTTAAAAGAAAACCTAACAAAGTGGAAATAAAATGAAATAGAATGAGCAAAAGCCACTCTCAATCCTGCCACAAGCTAGTGGAGAACTATCGAATCTCATAAAAGAAGAACTAGACATTAAACAATTGAAGAAACTAGAAAGGAGGTTAGTTCGTTCGAATTAAACCCCGGAATAAAACTAGTGAATAAGAGCGCTTCGTATTCATGACTGAGTTACGGAACGAGCTAAAAGTAGCGGAAAGGAAAGCAACGAGACATTTCTTGGAAACGCCTGAGAATTATGGCCTCACTACTGTACGTGGGTGGATACGATGTCAAGATGGGGCGATCAAAGAAAGCGAACCACGCGAGAGAGCACGCCGTTTGAGAGAGCAATCTTTTTATATCAATAACGGTGGGTGGGAAGCATTGCAGTGGGTGTTGATAGTTGCAATGGATTAGCGCCCTAACCGCGCAATTTGGGTAGGGTAATGAAGTTGTCATGACCTGCGTAGGTACGGACTCCACAATTCCCCTCGCGGTAATCCCAGGGTTTGCCGTAACGGAATTTTCGAAAAAATAGAGCGTGAAGAACAACGAATGATACTGTAACGATTCATCACTCCCTCACCTGCGTAAGCTTGCGTTCCTCCTCTCCTTATCCTCCCCTTCCTCCCTCCATTGCTCTCCAGCTGCCACTGCAGCACCTTGTGGAATGACCGGAAGTGTGCTAAGTAGGTGTTTATATAGCCGTTGTTATCACAACCATGCCATTGCAACATTGATAGGGCAAGCCCTGCGAGCTACCCAGATTTGTTAGCGGCCTTGTTTATCCATTAGCTGCCTTATCACTCACTTCATTTTGCGGACGGACAGACAGACAAACATACATACATACAAACAAACCGACACACCAAGGCGGTTTATATAATGAAGGATTATTACCACACTTATAATTCCATGACAGTGGTACATACGAAACTTTCTATTTCCACAAGGTGTAAATGAGTACACGCTGGAAACACGAACTGATCTTGTGCCGATAAAAAGATTCTTCTTATGGCTAGTGCAGACTCGTTTCCACTATGTGTATTACGTGGTTCCTGAAGGGTTAGATTATCTCTATCGCCCCTAAGGAGCCAAATGAGCACCGCTAACGGTCGATCGGGACCTGTTGTTGCACATAGGGCAACGGACTTTTGGCTCGTCCGGGTGGCACGCGGCAAATTGCGCGGCGAGCGGCGCGGCGATCCGGACGCATCGCGGGAATTCAACACGTCAAAACGTGTGAGATTGCGGATAAAATCCGCAAGGTTCTGCAATTCGAAATACATCTGAACGGCTGGAATTTTGAGGACAGCGGTGGTTGTAACAGTAGGAAGAGATAAGAAGGAACTAGCGTAGCATAGTGCTGTTATGGCAATCAGGGCGCTCATGTCGTTGGGGGGACGTTCCATTGGGGGAGGGGGAGAGGGGGAGTGAGTGAGCCAATTACTGTGTTTGGAACCGAGCCTTAGGGAGGAGAAGGGATTCTGGGGGAAGTAATTTGTGTTCTCCCTGGCGTTCCTCCCCTCTGCTGGGCTTAGTCCTAGTGTCACCTACCATCGACCCTGTTTTGTTGTTTTGTTTTGAATGTTTCTCCTTTGGACGTGAGCGCCTCGATCAGCAAAACATATATAGTTGACATTAAATACTCAACAAAACTCCCAATTTTAGTGACTCTTATTTGCTTTGATGGTAGTAGTGACATTTACATGAAGGTCCTCACTCATCTCCTTGCGCTGAAATCTCCTCACCGATACTGCTGCTTCCAATCCCCGCGAGCGGAAAGATTTTCAAACAGCAGAACCATGCGGAGTTTATCCGCAATCTGCACACGCTTGACGTGTTGAATTCTACTGCAGAACCCGCGAAGCCTTGCCTCGTCCGGATCGCCGCGCATGCCGCCGCGCAATTCGCCGCGTGCCAGCCCGGACGAGCCAAAAGTCCCGCACCCCCGGATATCACCAAAATCGTAATCAACTTTGCCAATGCTTGCCAAAGATCCCAAATGCAGCTGGCATAAAACACGACGGTCAAGAATTCTACTCCTCATGTTTGAAAGAGCAAGACGTCGATAAAAAGACAAACTCCCGCGTGTCGATTTTTCTATAAATTCTATCAAGGAATACATACACTTCGTTGCAAAACTACAAAATATACCAAATTTGGTTTTCTGAATTTGCAAAAAAACTGAGCAGTTTTTTTTCCAAAGTTTGCGCTCATTTCTTGCAAATCCAGAAACCCAAAATCTGGAGTATGTCGTATAGTTTTGCAACGGTGTGTATTAACCTCTTAAGTTAGTGTCAGAGTCCGCGATCCGTCGCGTGGATCGCGCGAATCGCGCGATGGATCACAGAAATCACAAGTGCCCCGATCAATACTGCGAGGTGCTCTCCAATCCCGCCGCCATTTCTGCTTGATGGTGATGGTTGAATGACGACTCTACTAGTTT